AAATGATGTCTAAGCAGAAAAACAATGTTATAAATCAATTTTGCATCGAAACTTGTAGAAGATAAAGTGTACTTTAAGACTTTTTGAACCTTTTTTTGTGTAATATTTTAAATCAAAAAACTTTGTTCGAAACTGTCTATATTTTATGAAAAATTATTAAAAACAAAAACAATTACATTATTTTATAATTTTTTCGATTTTACACAATAATTTTTCATGTTTTTCGGATAAAATATGTACCCTAGTTCACTGCTGGCAATGCTCCCTTTGTGTTCACGGAGTTGAGAACAATCACTTGAGCCATTTCGAAGATTAGTACAGACAGTCAAATTAAAAAACAAAAAACGTTAAAAATGTTTATTCATGTAGCATGCAAATAAATCTCTAAATCTATAACAAAAAAAGTTTAGTTATAGAATACTATGCAATTCAATTCAATCTAACATTGTTACTATAGGAGGATCTGTTTGTATTTTTACATATTATTTTTTGTTTCAAAAACGTGACCTCCACACTAGGATTTTCTCCTGTATCACTGAGGCAGTTTACATACATAAATTTCACAAGGACAAACATTCAGATCCGGTACAATTATTTAAAGGCCATACAAATACATTGATTCGAACCCGCGGCCTTTAGCGCTGCAACTCATTGCTAAGACCACTGCAGCTCAGATACCGCGCCGTCAAAATACCTTCTAATTCTTCATTATCAGCCCCTAAAAGACCACAGCTGAACATGGGCGTCTTATGTTGCAAAGAGAATTTGCCTTCATTACGCTTTGCTGACGGGTTGCGATTGCTTTACCCGATATCTCGCCACTTTGGCGCTGCTGGGTATTAACGTGTTTTCTTTACGTCTGGTACCGCCATCTATCGGAAACCATAAGATTTTTCTAACATTTCCCAGTCACCGCTTACGTCATCCATAGAAAGAAATACGATAATGAATTCTTTACCACCGCCACCACAAGGCCATATGTGGCGGCGGGCACGGTTATATTTTTTTTTATAGAATTAGGATGACAAACGAGCACAGTCCACCTGATGGTAAGTGGTTGCTGTGGCCCATAGACATCTACATTTATCCTCTATTACGACTCAAAATGCAGATGCGTTGTCACCCGTGAGGACTAAGATGGAATGCCTTGTTTCCAGTAAAAAGGGGTCTTCGGTTTTCTACACTCACCATACGAAACACAGCAGTGTTATGCTACTATTTTACACTGGTATTCTGTGAGAGCGTGGTCCTTCCCCGGTCGAGCCGACCCATTCGTGCTACAACTATACCAGTAATATAGCTGCAGCATGGCTCTACCACGTTCAAAAAATATTAAATGTACGTCATAGTATTAAATTTAAAACAAGTTATGTTGAAAAATGTACGTTGAAAGATATGATTAATTAGTAAATTACTGTATGGTGATTTTATCTAAGACACTCGATCGCGACTGATTCATTGTTTATCGAGACGCCTGAGAATCCGTCATACATGACATCATTAATGGAATCTTGTTAAGTTTGAATATGCCAAAAAATAAAAGACAATGCAATCATCTATAATTTATGGTGTTAAAAATGTTACTGATTGTATTTGGTACTCAGACTTTCAAATTCTGTCATAAAAAAATCAACGTTTGCTGATATTTTTGCTCGCCGAGTTATTTGACAGTCGGTATGATTAAAAATAATGATAGTAAACGTGAAAATAAACTTGCAATAAAATCATATCACCAAGTGTTACGGCGTTAGGGAAGGATGTAATACCCTTCAGTTTGTGAAAGGGGAAAGTACCTTCAGAATTTTACATGGTAGAGCCACGAATAGCACGAATGGGTCGACCGGGGAAGGACCAAGCTTTCACAGAATACGATTGTAAAATAGCAGCTTAATGCTGACGTGTTTTGTATGGTGAGTGTAAAGAACCGGAGGCCCTTTTTACTAGAAACAAGGCGTCGAGGATAGATACAGATGTCTATAAAGCACAACTTCACATACCAACAGGTGGATTGTTTGCTCGTTTGTCACTCTTATTCTATATAAAACAAGTATTTAGACTTGATACGACATGACATCAAATAATTTCGAATCGCTTAAATGAAGAATTAACAAAAACGACAACTTTCAATTTATCTCGTAATTTATAAAAAAAATACGAGCAAAAGAAGGAACGAAACTTTTTGATTTTATATTTTGTGTTTTCACTGAGTATTGTTTTCGTAAATGTTAGAGTAATTCTTGTGGAATCAATTGACGACTGTTCGCACTTGGAAGATCGACTTTGATCCCAGCGATAACTTCCGAATACGATCGGCACCTACGTTTCAACTGCGCAGGAGACATTATATAGAACGTGCCATGTGATGACCGTGCGATGTGAAAGAACCTATTACCCATTTTGTCAAGCGATTTTCGTTAATGGTGACTGTGACACATCCAAAAATTACCATTACCGACGACGGGCAGCAGCAGGAAGTGCGTGACGTCTAGTTCAGCGATCAACAATCCAGCTGCTAACCGTGGTGATGAGGTAATTCTTCCAACGAGCCTTATGGGCTTATACGGGCTGACGAAGACGAATTGTACGCACACAAAGACGTTCAATAGTACTAACCTACGATACTTATGTCATAGAACCAATGGCAACCTAAAATACAGTGTTAGAGACGCAGGGATAACCAGTAACCACAACACAAGCAGACCCAACACCAACAATATGTAATTATGCACAAATGTTGACTCCAACTGGAGGCGAAACCTAGATCCGAAGTGAAATGGTCGAGTACTCCGGACCCTTAAATGTAGACATTGCAAAATCCATTGATTAATAAAAACATACTGCTCCTACAAATTTAAAAGATAAACAAATGAATATGTATGTTGGTAGTGTAGAAATATTTAATAACGCGGGGGCGGGAGAACCAGTCCAGCAGTGGATTTTGCGGACTAGCGATAGCGATGATGATGATGATGATGATAACGACGATGCAGAAATAACGGTATAAAAAGCGCGTACTTTGACCTGTTTAAAAAGTATCTCAGTAATTGTCGCGTTAAGATATAGAACGGATAGTCGTAATGATATTGAATGGTGTCAATGACCTCAAATGTTATCAATAAATTAAATTTTGTAACATACACACAGTATGTATACATTTTAATAATACAATGTTTTAGCAGTAAATGCCTTTAGCTTCAAAGTTTTTGATTAAGTTAATTCAAAATAGTATCATTGGTGTATAAAGAATCACTGTTATGGGGTGATTACATGCTTTGTTAGAACTTGTAAGATATTAACGTGATTTTGGTGATGAATTCATTGCATTGAAATAATATAATCCATATAATACCTAATTTTTTATTAGTTAATCACACTTTCACAGGAATCCTATATAAATTTCAACCAATCTACCCTTACATGTGCTTCGATTACATATGTAAATTTTATATTACTGTAAGTAGGCAAAAGAAGTTTACTTAGGGCCGATTTTTCAATCTCCTAATAAATAGCGTTTATCCGAGTGAAAGCAAATAAATCGATTTTTCAATTATCAGATACGCTTTATGTCGAATAACTTGACTATCAGATAAATAACTCAGTGTGTCCTTTTTACAACCAGTTATTAGCTTATTCGGTAGATAATATAATTCGATGACAGATGCTGAACACATTTTATTTGTACGTGGTATTTATTGATTTTGCATTTATTATAAATAAAACCTAACTCTTATTATTAATATTCTAATGAAAAAGAAGATGAATGAAAGCAAAAGGCTTTAAGGGCTTCCTCCTGTTTTGTAAACCTACTGTTTTTGCAGATGATTATTTTTGTACCTTTTTTAATTCTCAATTATTCTAATAAATATAAATTCTTCAATTAAAGGGCAGTTATTGTAATTTTACATGAAATAAAGAACTCTGCCTTATTGGATTTATTAATCGGTCGGAGTTATTCGTGAGATAAATTAAAAATGAAATAAAAACCGCCTAAGTGCGAGTCGGACTCGCGCACCGAGGGTTCCGAACAAATTTAAAATTATTAAAAATATTTTTATTATATGATGGAACTAAAAATTTATGCTTTTCGCAATTTTTTTTTCCTTTATCGGTGCTATAATATCTTGCTTCGTACCAAATTTTAAGATTCTGAGTTCACGGGAAGTACCCTGTAGGTTTTGATTCCCTTACGAATATCGAAAATTTGCGGCATAAACGGCTGTATCTTTTGATTGCTTTGGCTTAGAAGTTTGATTTTTTCACAGCTCCAAGGGACAGTAGACATGAGTCTACTGTCCCTTGGAGCTGTGAAAAAATCATTTTCAATCATTTGATATGTATTTCAGCTTGATACCTCCTTCCTGAGAAAAAGGGTCTTGACAGACAGACAGACAGACAGACGGACAACAAAGTGATCCTATAAGGGTTCCGTTTTTTCCTTTTGAGGTACGGAACGCTAAAAAAGACAACTAATGGTTCATAGTTAATCGGGTCAAATAATTCTATTCGTTAGCATGTTTTATTTGATCTGAGGATTGATAAATCGGCCCTAGGGCATATAAATACTCTTTACTATTTAAATTTAAAATATTAAATCACGATTATAATAACTTTCTAGATTAAGTTCAAACACAGAAATTCAGACAAAACAACAGTGTTTTGTTTTGTGACGTGTAATGGCGGCGTGAAAATATCCACATCTCCATATCATCCTGTGGGTGTCGTAAGAGGCGGCAGAGGGAAATGAAACAGATGGATAGCAGCATCTCCCTGATAACAAGTTAAAATAATAAAAAAAACTGGCAATCCCCACATGAGACAATCTATGAAGGAGGCCTATATTCAACAGTGGACTTTTAATAGGCTGTAATGATGATGATAAAAGTAGTTATTAAGTAGTAATTTAAAAGACTAAAGAAATACACACACACAAGGAAATACATACAAGAATATCAATGGAGGAAGGGCGATATAAACGAAATATTAATAATAAAATAACATACCATTAGGCGAATAAACTCGCAAGTTAATAGGTACTGGCGAAATGCCTTTATTGCTGCCAGTCACACGATCCGTCTCTGCTTCGATCTCGCTGCGTACCTCGTTGAAATCCGTAAACTTCTTGCCCTTACAATGAAGGAACTCTGCAAATTCTGTTGAGCAGATATGGAAAGTTAATATTCAAATTAGATTGATTAACTTTAATTAGGCAGATAACGCACACTGCCAATTTCTTTGGTTGTCAAGCTTAGTATCTAGGACAACAGCACAATCACTTAGAGGTAATCATCGCTTACACAATGAAACATTAAATAATAAGGCTAAAAATTAAAAGCTACATCTCTAAAATTGTTTTTTTATTTTTATTTAGTGGTTGTCATACAATGTACGTCAAAGATTTGGTGATGGTCACAGTATTTGAATTTTTATTCTAAAATTGAGCGCACTATGCTGCAGTAGAGCAAAATTTTGGTTGGTGATTTTCTGAAAAATTTCCCATTTCTAATTACGAAACCTAACATTTTTGATGCTCTCTTTGTAGCATGATCAATATGATTGACGAATGTTAGTTTTTGATCCAAAAGAATACCCAAATCTTTGACAACAATTACCTCTTTGATCTGAACGCCTTCGATATGATAATTAAATATGAGAGCAGTTGGAATAACTTTAGATTTCCTAGTAAATTTGATGTGCACACATTTATCTACGTTCAATTTCATGCCGTTTGTTGTACACCAAACCACCAAGGAGTCGATATCCCTTTGCACAAGTGCAGAATTCAGTATTCAAGTGAACTAACGGCTCTAGCCAACTTCATGTTGTCAGCAAACATGTATGGTTTCATAAATTTAAGTCTAAGAGAAAGATCATTAACGAAGATTTTCATAATACTGGTGGTATATCGTATCTCCTTCGCGGGACACAAAATTATACGCGACCATGTGATACGCCGTTGTTACCGCATCTGATACGTCCCGTTCCACAGACAACCTCGTATCTGATACACCCGCATCGGATACACGTATCGTGATTGGTAGTATAGACGTATTTTGATAATGTATCGCGATACGACTGCGCTACGGAATACGACGCGCCCCATCTTTTGTGACTGTTTACCCCAATTTTTCATATGTATAAACAGTCCGTGTGACAATTGCTTCCATTGCACAATCTCACAGCACAATGGCAATAGATAGTTAAAATCCTATTCTTTAAATTTTTTGCAGCCCAAATATCACCTTATATTACTTGATAGAGATACTTCCGAGGTCTACCTTTATCAGTGCACTTGTGATGAGCTCTAATAATAACAATAAAAATACTACATAATATTAATTATTTCTCTTAAATATAAACTATTTTTATACCACAGTATGTTTTAACAATTATTAGGCTTATTATTATGCATAATATGGTCCATATACAAGACAATAATTGTCAGCAATTTAAAACCTTTTTGCAACTATTAAGCAAATGTAAGTTCCTTTCAAATTTACAGAATAAGAAATCATGGTAAATAACTTAGCTCATGAAGCCATCATAACAAAAACATACTAAATGTACATTATCCTACTTCTTTAGAATTTAAATTGTATGTAATTGTGTTAACTATATATGACACAACTTAAGATAATATTATAACAGTTTTACAAGGCAAAAAAATCTTGATCTTTTATTATTAAAAATAAAAATATGTTTAAAGCTAAAAGCTTTTATTTATTTGTTTAAATTTTTTTATTATTTTTTATTTTTATTGATTTTTAAAATAATTTATTTATCAATTACCATTGTTTTTATTACACATAAATTAATTTATGTTGAACTAAAAATATTATTTATTAACAAAAACAATCTTTCTAAGGATATCATAAGGTTCAAATACTTGCCATAAAATTCTTATGGTCTCCAGGAGTATGCTTAGCAGTGTAACCTTCATAATATAGAAAATCATACACAGACTGCAAATGGCGAGAATTGTCATATAATTGAAAACAACACATTTTACACGTACCTGCATTTCCATGTATAAGTTGAAGAATTAAGGGTCTCCTTGTTACTATTCCAGATCCTCGAGGTAAAAAGTCCCTGAAGCAAATGAATATAATTATAGTTTTAAATTTTATGATGCGTTTGTTTTGAGTCATTTGACTTCTTAGAAAAAAATAGTTTAAAATAGGAAGCAAACCATATAAAACGCTTTTGAAAAACAAAACTTATTTGAAACAACTTTCATCCTCATTCTTATCCTAAATAAGATATCTGGACAATATAAAACATGTATTGTTAACAAAATGTTTATAAAAAAGCTATTTATTTCATCATCCATTTAATGATAACAACAGCCCACATAAAGTATGCAAAGAAATATTTACAACTCCTTATCACTTCAATTCGTTAAACAAACTTGCAAAATCATCAATGAATGGATAACAAGATGCCTGGACTACTTCCATTGTGAATAAACAAAAAAAGACAAAACAAAAAATTGATTGCTAAACAAATTACACTGACAATGTTGATGACTCATATGTGATATGAACTCACTGAGCAGGAAATAGCAATATTAGTTTGATATTTACAGTGTTAATTTTATATGAATTATATCTAACCATTTGTCTTATATCTTTTTAAGTTAACAAATGTGCATAGCATTGCATATTAAAAAAAATTATACATTAGAATAGTAAAAAGTAAGCAGAAAAATAAAATGTCTTTTAATTTATTTTCATTTATATAGACATTCTTCTTCATCATTAGACTGTAAGTCCACTAGAACTTGCTTATTTGCCTAATTGTCAAGTTTGGCCTAAGGACTCGTATGCATGTTTTGAAAAAATTGTGGGAAAGCATGGTTTTCACACAAAATATATATTTGAGATTGTCCCAAAAAATCTCAAATTTAAGCAAAAAATGCAGGGATAGGGGTAAAGAAAAAAAATTAAGGGACAAGGAAAGATCCCTAAGAGAGGAAATCGAAGCAAAGAACAGCATAATTTTCAATTTTTTTTTAATTTATTTAATTTTTAGTTACAAGAAGTTCGAGAAAGCAAATCAGAAAGAAGTCTAATTTAAAGTAGCCGCTTAGGATGGAATTGCTCCGGCACTCTAAGAAGTTCTCTTAAATAACAAAGTACAGGCACCATGAGCCCAAATAAAATCCAATCAGTCCAAAAACATCTTGTCTCATTTACATAATAGAATTAATCAAATATTAGATCTATTTCTTATGACTTATCGATACTGTAAACATAAACTTACTAAATGGCTAAAGGACTTTAGAATATATTGAAGTAGGAAACTTATTGAAATTAGGATTTTGATATGAGGATATTTATGTGTAATCCACTCACACATACACACATCAAAACTCCATATACCACACGTGAACACCCCTCTGCTCAGTGACTTAATGCTGATCCTAAGACCTCTTATGACACACATTCACACAACACATTACACTTACATACACTACACACACTTTACATTCACTACATACACACACACTACACACACTATTTTTACTTTCCAATTTTTTTTATTATGTTGTTGCTCAGAGTTAATTTTCAGTATAAGCGGTTCTTGCTTTAGCAAGTTTTATGATGAGGAAGAGGGGCTTAGTTCTGATACGGGCGCATTCTGCATTCAAAAGAAGAAGTCTACCATTGTATATGAACTTGTATGACTGTATTTATGAATGAAACCTTTTTTTTTTTTTAGAAGTGGCTAAAGCTGGGAAAGCTGAACCTGTGGAGGTGAGCTCTCTCTCCGCACCTCAGGCTTTACATAAACACGCTAAGAGTAGTAGCAATAGAGGTAGGGATTGGTTGATTCAATTCTCAGAGTTTTTTTAACCTACTAATATGATAGGGAAATTTGACTTATTCAAATTTGTGCAATAAAACTTTTTGTCATTTGACATTTTTGTCATTAATAAGGTTCTGGAGGGAATCTTGATCATTATTATCTAGATTACAGTATTATTTTTAAAGTGCTTAAAATTAAAGGGATATCACTAGATATTTCTGAAGAAGACTTAACTGTTTTGTGTCCTAATGGGAAAAAAACACCTCAGCCAAATTTAGTGGACCTGAAGTCCATGTTTAATTTGATTCCAAAAGACTGTTTAGACTTTTACTAATCTTTACAGGGAGACTAATATATTGTGGATGATATAAAAGGATTTAGTGATCAGATCTATTTTCTTGTGAAATCAGTCAACAGCAAGTGAAAGCATTAAATTAGTTGAAAGAGTGATTGTCATTATCGCATGTTAATCTCATTTCATTTTTACACTAGCTGGCCAGGCAGACGTTGTTCTGCCCTTTCAGACACTCCTTCCTATAAAAAAATCCTTAAATTCACAATAAAAAATATTAAAGGTCACTTATAGGGATAAAAATTATCCTATCTCTCAAGTTGGACAAAACTGCACACAGTGTGCAAAATTTCATTGCAATCAGTTTAGTAGTTTAGGAGTTCATAACAATGTGACACATAATTTTTATATATAAAGATAATTACATAATTCAAACTTTCTTGTTATTTTATTCATACATTTAGATATTTAAGTGTAACATAATAATACATTTTAAAAAGTTATTATAAACATTCATAATAAGGAGCCTTACCGCAATGAACATTTTAAGCTGGTCTTAACAAAAGTACTATTCAAATCAAAAAGGATTCAAACCCATGTCCTCTTGAATATCATTTTAAATATGAAACTAAACTTAATGATACATTTTAAAGTTAAAAATATAAAACATTTTCCTTACAATTCAATATAATCAACAGATTTACAACACTGCATCAATGAAGAATGACAATGTAAACTTTAAACTTTTTATCCTTTCATTGAACTAAGTTGAATCATATTTTTATAGAATTGTTGAGCCTAATTACCTCTTATTATTATTCTATAGAAAATAATTGTTTATTTGTTGTCTTTATATTATGTACCCCATTGTTACTTATCTTTTTTAAATACATGCAGGGTGAGAAAGAAAGGGAAAATCACCCTATCTGAGGAATATATTTTGGTAACATATGAACCCAGCAACACCCACTGGATCGGCACACTAGACTAATTGTTCTAAATTCATCTCAAAATGAGAGCAAACCTGTGCCTAGCAGTGGGACTAACGGTGACTGTAAAATTTCGTGTACTTTACCTGATTTTTACTTGATCAATAACATTAGAATTTAGTTATTATTAGTACTAATTTTAATAACTAGTTTTTCAAAAGGTAAACTTTTTGTTGTTAATGTATGCCTTAATTTACGAAAATAAATTTATTTAATTTTAATTAGAGTATGATTTGCCGTATATAAGAGTAAGAGTAACACAAGCCATTATTATTAGTTTTTGACCAATTTTTTATGATATCAGAAACTACCAACAAAAATAAGAAAGAGCGAAGTTATTAAGGGTCAGTAATCAACCTTTCCTATGTCTATTGCCTATAAGATACGACTACTAACAATGAATTCTATTGTTTTGAAGTCGAAACTCCCGTTTATCATATAGCCATGAAGGGATATTCTTATATTGTTAAGAAACCAAATTAGGCCAAGAAAACAATGCATCAATCACCTTAGTAATTTAAAATTTTAAGGGCTTACCTGCCGACAAAATTTTCTAATACCGAACTTTTTCCTGCAGATTGACCACCCACAACTGCAATTTGTGGAAGATCTAAAGACATGTGCACGCCCATTTGCACGAATGCATCTTGTAATTTATTTACAATGGGTATTAATTGCTGCATTCCATAATTCCCGGCCATTTTATCAAAAAATTATATTAAAGTTTTCTACCACAAATTCACTACTATAACTTGTTCATCCTCTTGTACATCACATCATAGATAAACTAATTTATTTTTCAATATGGTGGTAGAATGTCGGTAAGTGGTTATGGTTAAGAGCCAACACTCCGTTTCACGTGTTATATATTTTTAAGTATGCATTGACTTTTTATTTTATGTATAAAGAAGCATGCTTTTAAAGCTTAATATGCCTTACAAAGAAGAATTAAGTTAACAAAAAATAACAACTGTGAATAAAATATGATTATAATAAATTTATAATTATTTGAAATAAAAACATAGATGCTCTTCTACAAGCCAAGCTTGATCAATACTATTTGACATGCGCACCATATTTAGGCCATCATTTTCATTATTATAAGTCTCAAATTTTAAATATTTTCCTTTTTCTTCTTTATAACATTATATCATAAATATGTTTCCTAATAAATAATTAAATATTAACTATTTTCAAATAAGTACATAACCAATTTTTGAAAACAAATAATTTCACACCTCGCGTTCGAGTACGAAATTAACTATTTATTTAATTGTTTAAATAAAGTTGTAAGGCTTTATATATAAAAAAAAATATTTGTAGTTATTTGTATCATCTTAAAATAGATTTTTTGACGTTATAAAAATATACAAATTGCCACAAAAAAGGGTTATTACATAATACTTATTAATAATTTATTTTACGTTAAACCTATAACATTATGATAATTTTATTATTATTGATACTTACTTGCCAACGAAATTTTCCAGTACAGAACTTTTACCAGCGGACTGACCACCTACTACTGCAATTTGTGGTAGGTCTAACTGCATATGCACACCCAGTTGTGTAAAGGCATCTTGCAGTTTATTGACAATAGGAATCAATTGCTCCATTCCTATGTTCCCGGTCATGGCTGCCGGTTTTCTGAAACACTTCTGGTTTTATGATGTGCTCCGCAGATCTTGGACTAGTGATTTTTAAGTTCATCAATATATTGTAGCCTTATTCTGCGCAAGCGTAAACGAATAGTTAAATATAATATAAATTATATAGGTATATATCAGAAGTTTTTACACCAGCTGTACACACTGATCGAGACATCACTGGCCGAGAGCCAGTGTGTACATGGCACTCTAGTTCTGTCTTAATATACCTCTGCTTGCCTAACCTCACTTCCTGTCAAGCGCGTATCGGTTTTTTGCACCTGAGCTTGATTCCAAGGGTTTCTTTATTTCTAGCGAGAGCGAGAGCGCGCACTCGTTCAATTAGTTGTTCGCTAACCGGGTTAACAGTCACAATGCCTGTTTACCCGGTTTTATTTCAGTGTAGCAACATAGTCATTTTAGTCATAGTAAAGAAACAAAGTAGCAACTATGCACCTTCATTATCTGAATTTTGTAAATGTATCACATACAAATTATGTGCATCCCATACAAGTTAAAATACCTATCTTGTAATATAGGTACATGTAAAAAGGGTGGGGGGCTTGACAATATGCTAAATATACAAAACATCTATTATGTAATTTAAATTACAGTAAAAATAATTGGAAGAAAGTCTGTTTTTTTTAAAAACGCTGATTCTCTGCCATGCATCCTTGACTTTGATTTTAACTCAATAAAGTTGGCTATGTTTTCGTGATTCAACCTTTTCGTCATCAATCATCGTTTTGTCATTCAATAACGACTACGCAGTGCAAAATCTAAAAAAAAACTAAGTAAGTTCGTGGAAGAGCATAGTCGCTATGTCATACTTCGCCTTTTCCTCGCGCTCGACCCCAAAAACCAAGAGCGAGTGCAAACGAGGCAATATTTGTGTTCATGCTCACTTGCTTAACATCCAGAGGGTAATGCACAACATATTAGTTTTTTAAAAGAATTCAAATAATTTTAAAATTAAATAGTTGTAGAATTTTCGTCGTTAAACAAATTAATGCAGTTTATGATCTAGCCACGTAAAAGTAAAATGTACTTTTAACTACGTATTGCTTAAATTAAAAAAAAATCTGGGTTGAATGCTTGAACGGTATAAGAAAAAATAATATTACATTTTAATATTTTTTTAAATTTGAATTATTTTGAACGCACATATTATTTGCTTGGCAATTTTTCCAATAGAGAGCGCTTTGTTGCGTCTTTGTGACGTCACGCTATTGATTGTGAAGGAAGGAGATCGTCTTTTGGCGACGCCATCTTAAAATAAAGTGATATAAGTTTTGGTAGCGTAGAGTATACAAAAAAATCTTAAGTAATCTCCATATAATAAATTTGCATTTGAGCTAAAACGTTTTTTAATTTGTAATATTTGGTATAACGGACCAAGGTACATATATATTTTTCTTTTGTTGTTTCATTTACTAATAAAAATTAGTTTATTTACCGTTCTCTAACTAGGATTGAGTTTGTACCGTTATTATGGTCTAAATCATAGTTTCTAGGACAGATTCATCTGGTGAAAATGTTTAATTTTTGATACTAGAAGACTTTGTAATCATCGATCAAGCGTCTGGTCAGCCTACGGATGTAACACGTCAATATACTTCGGAGGGCAGGGCTCAAAACTGTCCAAAATCTAGCTGTGAAAGTGCTTTTAGTGGTGTATCGTTTTGTAAATAAGTTTCTAAGTTCTTATAATGCAATGAATTAGAAAAGTATTTATCAAGTGTGATCGTGCAGTGAAAAATAATTGATTTATTAGACATTCATTTCGAAGGACAATTCTTTGTGAGGACTGTTGTGTCACTTCATTTTATGTCAGTCACAGTGGGAATTATAGTGATAACTACCGATTGCATTACTTGCAGTTGGTGGTCGGTGAGAGGGTGATCTCCTGATGGTGTGTACATCGCAGCATGTCTGCACTCTCGACGCCGGGCGGCGGAGGAACTACGGCGCAGAGCAAGCCGACGTCCGGCAAGCAAAAATATCAAAAGTTGGACATCAATAGTTTATACTGCGCCAACAGAGTAAGTTTTCGACCCACCTCTTAATTTTTTTATTGTAACTTTCCATGTCATTAAATGTTAAAATAAATAACTCCCTTTTGTAAAATAATTAAAAACTTATTTTGCCTCAATTTTATCATTAAATTATTTATAGCTATTCAAATTTAGAAGCATTATGTTTTCATAAAGTTTATATCTTAAACCTAAATATAATCTGCCCTAGTTTTTGGATCATAATACCCAACCCTTCTACAGCATAATTTATACCATATATAAAAACCACTGCTGTTTAATGGAAATTGTTCTAGGAGAAACTTGGTATGATACCATGTTTAGTGAATTATGAAAATAAATAAATTTTTATTCATCAATATGTTTTGCTTGTTCTTATCTTAATAAACTGCATTAGTCTAATGTTATACATACTTATATGCAGAAGGATTGGTGGCATTATTCATAAATGAATATTAAATTTTGTAATATAAAATATGTTTATATTAGTTATTATGTAATTATGTAATTTATATTTCTTACTAGATAAAAATTTAAAAAAAAAAACTTCATGTGAAATTTTCATAAAACTGTAGGCAGTAACTATTATTTAAACTTTTGTTATTTAGTGTGTAGACATTAACTTTTCTATTGATGTGAACTTTCTGTTGATATTTGTGTAGCCAGTTTTGATCAGTCAATTGTCTATTTCATAAAGATATATTTATAGCATTAATAAAAATAATTAGTCTTAAAATTCCTTCTATATATTATGCTTGTAGCAGTACTGCTGGACATGGAGACAAAAACTTATAAAATAAATTGCTATAATCAACACACTTGGCATTTGGACTGGCTATTGTAGTACCATATGTTTTATGTCTTCATGATGTTCCCATTATTGCCTTGACCTCTCTTTGAATGAAGAAGTTGTGTAATCTCTTATAGCTTCTACACAGCAAGTATCATAATTGTTTTTATTTAAAATTGAATATATAAACTGCAGTGATGAGAATGAAAGCAGGCTTATGAATTTATCAAACGTATTATAAAGATACTAGCTGTGGCTTGCCATGCAATGCCTCATTGCCAGTTCTCATGTGTACATTCTCCAAACTTTTATTGTAATTTCATAAATGGTATAGGAACACTTACAAAACGAATAAACAAATTTTAATTTTTTGTAAGAAACCTTCATGGGTGTGCACCAATGCTTGTTTTCAAGTATATGGTATAGGAATGAATATAGGACTGACAAAGAAACATTCATTTTTGTATAATACTAGCTGGCCAGTCAGAGTCGTACTGCCCTCTCTGACTTTGTCCTATAAAAATTACCAATAAAAAATATTGAGGGTCACTTAACGGGATAAGAATTATCCTATCTCTCAAGTTGGACCAAACTGCACACAGTGTACAAAATTTCATTGTCATCAGTTCAGTAGTTTAAGAGTTCATCACGAACAAACAATGTGACACGTATTTTTTATATATAAAGACTAGTGAAAAAATAAATATTTGTTTAAATATTGTTTGAATTTAGAAGGGTTATATTGTTTATTTAGGAATGATAATACATTCATTGAAATTGAGTGACATATTAAGACTTTCAAATATGTTGGTACAACATGTAAACCACCTACTATAATAGAATTGTACTATGTGCAAGTGTAAGCAATAAGTTGACAAATTTTTAACACAATCTGATGAACAGTATGGCAGTGCATAAAATAGAACAAACAAAAATTAATTTTTATATATTAGATTTTGATAACAGGGTTGCAGATTATCAAGATAATAATTTTCATTTATAATTATCTGGTAATTGTCCAGTAATTATCTATAATGTGTAAAAAAAGTATTTTAGTAGTTATAATTCTTTTATTTCAATTTAAAAAATGCTCTCTGTGTGACACAATCAACAATAACAAAATTTAAACAAATCAAAATTATTTGTTTTATTACCTCTTAATTTGACATATTCTTACATTTGTTACATTGAGCCCATAAACTACTATTTTTTTTATGCAGTCAAACTAACCACAGTGGATCCAGATTTCTATGTATATAACTGTGTAATTCAGAAACAAAAATTAACAAAACTAAACATTGATAAGAACAACTGGAATTTCCACCCATTGACATTTCTCATGTCCACAATTTCGACTTGATGCCAAAAAAATTATGCACAATATTATCCATGTTTGGATACACGTTATAAACTTTATGCGATATCACACACAGAAATAAATGTTATTATCATTGATAATTATCCTGTGCAACCCTGACTGATAGACACCACAGTATTGTACTTCTCTGTGTTCTAAAATGCCTTGGAGGAGCGCAGTGGACTAATTGCTCCATAACACCTTTCAAAAACGGGAAAAGTCCTGTGCCCAGCTGTGGGACATATGAGTGCTGTAAAGCTTAAAATAACTTTAATGCTGATGTATATTTTTACAACAATGATCCTTCCCGTCATGTCCTGAACTTAAAAAATGTCCTTCAAATGGCATTAAATAGCAATTAATGATATATTTACAAATTAATTAATTACAGATGATTCAATAATTGGATTGGTATATCATCAGCATTCTTAAATCTGGACTTTGCTGTTGCAGACTAAGTGAAGCATATAACTTTAGGCCTTTTAGTATATTACTCATAGTATGATATATTAAATTATACATATAAATTAAAAATGTATATAATTTGTAACCAGAGTTTTTAAATTAGTTGAATGAAGTAGTTGTCATTCCTAAGAATTAGTTTATGTTCCTTAAAATGAAGTTAAATTTAATCATCTGTGGTTTAAAATTACATTAAACTTACATTAAATTTCAGAACGAAAATTCTGAACCGTCCTCAGTTAAATCTCATCTTAGCCGTAAACATGGAATGCAAAGTCTTGGAAAAGTTCCTTCTGCTCGGCGCCCACCCGTCAATTTGCCTTCTTTAAAAACAGAAACAGGCCAAGATTCAAACGTCAAGTAAGTTTTATTTTATTTAATTTAAAGTGTAAGTAAAGTTACAGCTTATATACTTTCCAATGCTGGACACAGGCCTTCTCTCATTTCTGAGAGAGTTATGTACCAATTAGGCTGCTGCACTAGTCCAGTGCATGTTTGACTTCACATGGTCTTGAAATATTTTGTTCCACAGACATGCAGGTTTCCTCATGATTTTAGTTTACCTTCATTGCCAAGCACTTGATAAATCAGACCTTAAAATTACAATTAACAATTTCATTGGTGCCAGTGGTGATGTAATCCTGTAGCTTGTGTACTTTATAATTACTGATGAGCTCTAAATCCCTATGCTTTTGGAATTCCTTTTTTTAGTAATGTATGGAATGAAAATATTTTAATACTTTATTATTTCAGCTCTGTTTCTGCTAGCACTACAACTGTATCTACACCAGCAACATGTACTTCCCAAACTACAGTAAGTTTATATAGTTTTATTGAATAGTTGTTTTGTGTCACTGCTTTTTATAGTACAATACTTAAACTGTGTGACAATATGGAAAACTTGATAAGTTTACATAGTCATAATTTATTCTCTATGTATATAGAATGCCTTAGGTCCGGTAAGTTTGATTATCATATATATAACTGAAAGTCAGCAGTTTTTTTATGTTCGCTAAGGAGTTTCACTAATTTGTATGGCTACTGGCTAGGAGCCATTTGCATTGATTGGTACTACCTTCTTACCTATTTCTGCCACCAAGCAAAAGTAAAACCAAAATATTAAAGTGTAAGACAGTCAGTATAGTGGGTTGCTAAATTATTAGGGACTGAAATATATTTGGCCTTTATTTTATTTTTAACCAACATCAAAAAAGGGTAAGTCCCAACAGTCACTTTATCCAATTTCAGTGGTTCTTTTTTGTTAGAAAGGAGTCACCATAGTGGTGGACCACTTAAATTTGCTGAAGATCTAAACTATTCATAATGATTTCTCATAATTACCTGAATGATACACATTGAATAAAACAAATTTTACATTAATATTAAGACTTCAATATACTGTAAGCTCATTCTGCATAGGTTACATAAAAATAATTCCTAGTCAAAAGATGAAGATGGTTTGAGTTAACTAAGCCCCACCCCATGACCATGGGTGCTGTAAAGCACCTGAAATGTGTGTATGTAAACTCTTTAAAATTTGAAAATGACAAACAATTCTTTAACACGAACCAAAATTATACTTTATTTCTTTGAAATTGGTTTTTCCTTTTTTTTATTTAGTTACATGTTATGAGTTGTATCAGCTTTATGTTGGTTGAATTTCTTTGGCAGTTTCCACCTTAATGATCTCCCATAAATTCTCAATAAGGTTTATTTCAGGAGAGTTGTTATACTAAGGTAAAAATTATGTAGTGGTTATGACATGGTGTTCAATCATCCATAAAAATAAATTTCTCCAAGCTATGGTATATTGTCTTATTTCGTAATTTTCCAGGAAATAAAGTGGCGACCAACTTTTATAGTGCACATATGACCTTACTACGATTTTAATAACGTATTTTAACCTCTCCATGACGCAAACTTTTTTGGGTGCTCTTTAAAGCTGGAATCATATATGTTGACATAATTATCTGAGAAATGCACCTGGTACATAACAAAGTGGTATAAAACTAATAATTTTAGTTTAAGATGGTATTAATTAGCATTAATAATTAAAACTGACCTTATTCAAGTCTTAGGCCACATATATCAATGCTTGTGAGCCCAAGCATGAGTTTTGACAACAGATTTTCCAAGTAGTAGTGTGGTAGTTTGCATATACCTATAGCCTACAGTAAGCCACTTACTGTCACATACTGGTGGATTGTTAGCTTGTATATCACTTGAATGATTAAGCTTAAGCTTTTGAAATATAGCAGACCTTCAATAACTGTTATAATACTAAAATATTTATATAATTTTTACAGGCTACTACAACGAACAGTGGTGTGGTTGCGGGCACCGCCCCAGGAGGTTGGGTGCCACTACCACCACCTACATCGCCACACTTTCGCACAGAGTTCCCCTCGTTGGAGGCTGCCGCTCAACCGTCACACCGTTCTTCAGATCATTCAGCCTCCCAACCACAACTCCGACCACAAAGTAAACATTTTTATGGTTTTATGGTTGAACTCTTTGCTTTGAAAATAATCATTTCAATAATTATTAAATTAGTTTATGAAATGGGTATAAGAGAAATTACCTATTCTTATACATTTTTATATAGTTAAAGGCCGTGGGTACTTATTAAAAATATCAACATAATTTGTAGTTACATTAGGTTGTAGATCAAATGAGTCCGCTTGACCCAGGAAAAACTACACCCTGACAGACACAGTGTCAAAATTTTAGCTATATAAGCTGCTGCTGCCCTTCCCCAGAAAATCAAATTCATCAAATTCACATATTAGTCCTCAGGAGTGACAATGCATCTGCTATTTAATTCTTAATCAGCATGTCCATGGGCCTCAGTATCCACTTACCATCAGGTAGACTGTGTGCTTGTTTGTTACCCTTATTCTATAAAGAAAGGCACATTTATGTATACAGGGTTATTTTTCAAAGAGTGGCCAAATTGTATATTTAAGTTAAGATATATAAATAATGACATACAATTATTGCAGTTTTTGAAAATACGAGTAATAAGGCTTCTACTTTTTTTGAAATCATCTCAAATTAAATGTGATTTATGGACAAATAAGACGCGTGCGCGCGCTTTGCGTGCGATTGAATTCACAACGTTTTTGCCTACCGATCGACCCTTACGAATGTATACAATAGTAGACATTAGATATTTATGAATGACAATCAGTAAAAATGATGCATTACCACACATTATCAATTTAAAACATAAAAAGAACAATGTTTGAGATTTATTAAATTAATTTTTCTTCACCATTTGTCTATATTACGAGGGTGGATTGAAAAGTACTCGGCCTAACCAAGAAAATAAACAAATACTAAATCAGTTATATTTTTATTTTTCTACATAATCACCATCAAGTTCAATACACTTTTGCCACCTCCCCTTCCAAGCATTTAGACCGTTGAAAAAAAATGATTCTTCCTTAGAGTCAAAATATGCGTCTACAGCTGCTTTGACCTCGTCGTTTGTCGAAAATCTTTGACCTCCCAAGTGCTTTTTTAGGTTAGGGAACAGAAAGAAGTCTGATGGTGCCAGATCAGGTGAATACGGCGGTTGCGGTAACAGTTCAAAGCCACAGTTGTGAATTTCAGCCATTGACTGTACTGACGTGTGAACACGGGCGTTATCTTGATGAAACAGGACTTTTCTTCTGAGCATTCCTCGACGTTTTTCTTTTATTTCCTCTCGTAAACGACGTAGTAAGGTGCAGTAGTAATCAGAGTTTATATTCTGACCCCTTTCAAGATAATCAATCATAATCACACCTTTCGAGTCCCAGAATACTGAAGCCATCACCTTATTTGCCGACAAAATCGACTTAGCCTTTTTAGGGGGTGGTGAACCAGGTCTTCTCCACTGTTTTGATTGTTGTTTTGTTTCCGGTGTACAGTAATGAACCCATGTTTCGTCCATAGTAACAAAACGATTCAAAAAATCATCTGCATCCGCTTCAAATAACTCCAAACAGTCGCGTGAAATAGTCAATCGCGTCCTTTTTTGTTCAACTGAAAGCAGTCGCGGAACCCACCTCGCAGACACCTTGTGGAAACCCAACTCGTTGACAATGATGTTTTGAGTTCGTTCATAAGAGATGCCTATAATCTCGGCTATCTCTCTAATTTTTAATCTGCGGTCTCCCATTATTAAATCAATTACTTTTTTAATATTTTCGTCAGTAGTTGACGTCGAAGGCCTTCCAGAGCGGGGTTCATCTTTCACACTCTCTCTACCACGCTTAAATTCTGCTATCCATTTTTTGACGGATGAATATGACAGAGCACAATCGCCTAATGTACTGACCATGTTATCATGGATGGCATTTGATGATAGCCCCTTCTTATGGAGGTACTTAATGACGGCACGCTGCTCGATTTGCTCCATTCGCGGAAATTATGTCCGATTACTTTGTTAATAAATTTATAAAATCACAACTAATTATCGCACACGTTTCGAACTTCACACAATGAACTAGTCTGAACTGAACTAAATAATGTGGGTAGATTTGATTTTTAGAATTGAATGGATCTGTGTTAGGCCGAGTACTTTTCAATCCACCCTCGTACTTATTGTGAATCTTCTCTGCAAATTTGGCTGTATATTGCAAAATAACCCTGCTATAGAATCTAATTGTATGTACTGTAAATAATTTAAAATATCCTTTTATCTATTTACATAATATAAACACGCCTACGCCTGTCACCCAGTAGGCTAGGCAGAGACTATGGACTTCCATTTGGCACCATCCTAACACACATCTCTCTCTTCCTTTGCATCCATATACATACCTATTTCTTTAAAATAGCCAAATGTTGCGAACATTTCTTTACCATCCATCTATTTCAGTTCACTGCTTAACTTAACTTAAATTTTTGTGTGACGTATGACACGCGAGTCGTATCTTTTTAAAAATCGTTATAACTCGCTCTAATTGCGTTTTTGGAAGATTTATCCAGAACAAAATATTCATTATTTTGCAATTAGTTCATGCCTACAGCTTCGTTTCTGGATATTTTGAAAATTTGAAACTTTTAGGTATTGACAACCTTTTTTTAACTTGTACATGGTACTCTTTTTAGTTTGTGGGTTTTAAATCATGTTGTGGAAAAATTGTCTAATAAGTAACAAATAATAGCACTCATTGCGATCGCTCACAAACTCAAGTTGTAAATAAATTTGTATAATTTTTTTTATTGTTTAATGTTGCTTAAAATGGTTGAACTGCCGTCTTATTACTATCATATGGCCAAATAGACCTACGAAGTACCATGTGCTCTTGTGATAATGGTATAAGGTTTATTTTTGCTTGAAACAGTTCGAAACCGTTCATGCATAGAAAAAGTTCGCTAATAAATAGTCTTGTCAATCCGCAGCCGTATAGCGCCGGCGTTTTTTTCCTTTTGAAAACACTTGTTTTGCTATTCTTATTAATTAGACGTTTCCAGATCGACTTTACTTTACATTTGTATAACATTAAATAATATTTAACATTTGTAAATATTAGAGATGCGCCGAATATTCGTTTGGTATTCGGTATTCGGCGTATTCGGCACCTTATTCACTATTTGTATTCGGCCGAATTATTCGGTTTTGGTGCCGAATATATTCGGTTCAAATATTTATATTTTCTTACCTATTTATTGTACACAGACTACACAGTATAGCACAAGAACACAGAACTTCTGTAGTAAGATTTACGTTAAAACAAAAATGCTAGCTTTATGTATCCCTACTTTTGCAGTGTTTGAATAATGTGTTGGAGAAGGTAATAATAAAATAAAGCAATTAAACCTCAAAACAACATTTATTTTTAATGAACACACTTATGTGAGATCATATATAAAAAACCATAATCAAAAGAAATTAATATTTTAGTATTTGTAATTTATCAAGGGTAAGTTATGGTGCAGAAACACCAAGCCCTCAGCCCTCTCTGGCAGTAGTCTATTGCGTTTCTCCTCGTAAAGGTTTGCTGCTTCTGAAAATATTTTTTGCTGTAGACACTCCTACCAGGAGGCTTTAGAAATACTCTGGCTAAATTAGCTAACTGTGCGTACTTAAACTTATGCTTTGCCCGCCAATTAAAAGGGCTCTGGTTTCTAGACAGAAGACTTTCAGCTACATAATTGTCTAATTCCACGGCAATTGGGCTTTTACGATCTTCGTGCTGCTATTCCTCTAAAAATTTGTAATATCTTGTAGAGGTCTTCCCCTGTTTGTTTCCATTTCATCTTCGCTTGAGCTTTCAGCATCAGTCGCTTGTTTTAATGGCTTCTAGAATAAGCGTTATTCTTACTAGTTTGCATTTTTCGGGAGCAAAAAATATTATTCTAAATCTAGGGTCTGTAGACAAGCAATAGTATTTGTCTTCTTCCTAACTTCGAACTCTCTAAAACGATTCTGAAGTTCTTCTTGTAGCTTCTGTACCATTACTGGTATATTGGGACATACTTTTGAAATTTTGGGCTTGGTTAAAACGTGCCGTGTTACTGTGGGGAATCACTTCCTTCAATTCGTGATTTCTTCAAATAGAATTAGACATTCTTTCAGAATCAGCCACTGCATTTCACTACAATTTCGAATATTTACTGTGCCAGAATTGTTCGAAATGTAAAGTGAAATCGCACATTTTTGTTCATCGATTCTTTCCAACATATAATACGTGCTGTTCTACCCGGTTGTGACGTCCTATACAAACTGATGCTCAGCAAGATTCAGTTCTTTCTGGATATTTTTAAGCTTTTCTTGCACCAGGCTTAAGTGGTTGAATTGTGTCACTATTCTTCTAGCAGAGGTCAATTCATCATTTACGTTTACAACCTGTAATGAAGCTTTAATCGCCAATTGCAACGTATGTATAAAACACCTCTTGCCTACAAACAGACTTTCATCAATGGGTTTCACCATATTGGGACCGTTATCTCTCATAATCACGTAGATATGCGAAGTTATGTCCCAAGTTGCAGATAAGTCTTCTAAAACAGAACGAATAAGATCACCTGAGTAAAAGTCAGTAAAATTTTTCGTTTGCAGAACTCTATGTTGTAGAACAAAGTCCTTATAAAGCCAGTGTACAGTGAAGCTCAGAAAGCTAAGCATGATGTTCAAACAAGTCTACATATCAGATGTAATCTAAACAGCTTGGGCTTTTGAGATTTCATCCTTGATCAATTTTTTCACTCTTTCATAAATTGTCGGAATCACTACTTCGCTCATATACTTCTTTCCAGACAACTTATATTTAAACTTCAATAAATGCAATAACCTGTTAAATCCTTTATTTTCCAGAATTGAAATTGGTTGATTGTCAGTGGTAATCATTTCAGCGATGGCGTTATGAATTACCTTTGATCGAGGGTCTGTTATGTCCCAATTTGTAATAAATACCTCTCTATAGATTGTTGTGATTTTACATTCGACGTTGTTGGCAAAGTTTTTGAGTTATGCTAAGTGTCAGAAGCACTTCCAGCAGTAGACGTGGTTGCTGGCAGTTGTTATTTATGCTTCAGTTTCAAATGTTTGTCATACCACTCGTCGAAGCGCTGCGGCCTGATCCACCGCGAGAAATAATACAACTACATAAAGTGCACTTCACTTTTGTTTTATCATCTTCTATTTCGCTAAACTGCTTACGCGGCAAAACAATGAAATCGTAAACCGAATAATTCGGCCGAATATCCGGTTCGGTACAGGTTAAACCGAATATTATTCGGTATTCGGTTATTCGGCAAAATCACTATTCGGCGCATCTCTAGTAAATATTAATGAATCTTAAACCTTATTTTTTCCAAATTAAGGTTCTTGATTGTTTGATATTTACAAATGTTATTATTAGGTGAAAATTAAATTTAATAAAAACCAAGGTTTTTCAGGGTGATTTATCTGTACCTACTTATATAAATGATTTTTTATAAAACAAAAAATAGTACGAAAGGTTTGTAAGCTCTACATAAAAAAATTCACTTACTCTTAATTTCAAAGAAAATACGTATAAAAACACATAGTTACCTACTAAAACGAGTATCTTTCCGTTTGTAACTGATGTTTGATGTCAACTAAATTTAATTAGCTCTTAAAGTGAAAAAAAGCATAAAAAATTATTTTTACACATGGCTTTTGGCACAATAGGCGTGTCATCAACTTCTGTGGCGCTTGAAATATTTGTTCGCCGCCACAGCTAAAAGTTGTTGAAAATCGGTGCCGCAACGAATCGATTAACATAGACTTTCGAGCTGAGAATATGCTAGCAAATTTATCCATTTCTTAAAGATTTGCTTATACAGATCACACAGCGCAGACTTATAACGTCATATTAGTAATGCTTCTTACTCTATTAAGTTAGTGGAATTGTGTTTAGGATATTTGAATGGATTTTCCATCAGCAATCAGTTGCCAGAGCCTTCCTTGATAGTGAATTGAAATCATTTTCTTATTTCTCAATAAATTATAACCTTGTATAACAATGTGTAGATATAGTATAGATATAGTACATAATATAATAAACATAATTATTACTACACTGAATGAAAATGAAATTTTCATACTTGTATTGTTTAGCGGAAGGCAGTTGGACGTCCGGTGGATCGGCTGGCGTTCGCCAAGAAACTACATCATCACCCGCCGCCGCGCCCGCCTCAACGCCCGCCTCACAGCAAATACCCGCTTTCCGTGCAATTCTGCCATCCTTCGTAAGTACTTGTATAACTCGTATTTCAGTAAAAGCTTGGAAGAAAAATTAAATTTTTATGAGAAAAGCTTTTTACTTTTAGCCAGAACAGAATGACTTATTTACAATTAAATATATTTTTAAAGGTCTAATCTATATAAGGCAATGAAAGTGTAAATTTTTAGATACCCTATATTGTTTGTAGGTGTTGTAAGTGTATAGAAAGTGCTAGGAAGTCTTTTATGCCTTCTGATAGACAATATTGACTCAGATCAGTAGGTGAGCAGTATTGCTTCATTTAGTATTGTGATAGCCAGTCGCCCTACTAAATGTGTCTATGGAGGCAGGTCCTACTTAATGAGATTAACGCCAATGTTAAGTTGTAGAGTATTTGTTTTTTTGTAAAGTGCAGGTGCATTGTCACCCCTGAGGACTAAGGATTAAGCTGCTCTTTCAGGCTGTTATTCTGCGAGTGTTGTACTTCCTCAGTCGGGCCGACCCATTTATACTACAACTACAATTTAGCTGCAGCATGGCATAAAGCATAAAATATGATCTTAAACATTAATAAGTAATTGTTTTTTTTTTTACTGTTAAACAATATGTACAACAATGAACAATAATTACACATGAAATGTGATACAAATCGAATATTTTGACCTTTTTGTTTGGACAATCCTTACTTTGTAATTTTGTTCCTAAATATAAGTTCACAAAATCAGGGCCCAGTGAGCGTATGAAATCATAATATGAAACCTCGCACATTTAATCGCGTGCTGATACTCAGTGTTGCCTAATATTGCCAATTCAGTGTATTTTCCACTTAAACTAGAGGATTCAACTACCCTTCTAATGGAGAAATATTGTGTAAAATTACAGTGACTAGTGTATTTCTACTTTGATCAAGTTGTTAATAAATGGTATTATAATATCCAGTAAAATTTACGCTTGGATGAGGGTTTTTAACCCAGAAGGGCATAACAATGATCAAAGAGTATATAATCACTGCATTTAAGAGGCGGGACTTCCTTAGTAAAAGTAAGTGTGAAAGGGCGCCAAGCTACTCTACCAACAGCAAGACATGACATTGATTTTTGTCAAACAGTGCTGACAATATAGGCGAATTATAATAGTGCTGTAAATGTCTATCTTCGAATAATTTTATTATTATACTCATAATCTGTGGTTGTCTCAACTCTATCTAGTGAGGGGCCGCACTAATTTTGTGTCTCGAAGTAGTGTAAAGCAGTCTCTGTCCCTCACTAGATGGAGTGACGACCTGGTAAGAGAAGGAAGTCGACAGATGCAGTTGCTCAGTTGCTTTGTGGCATTCCTTGGGGGAAGCCTTACACCAGCCGAATAAGACATTATATCCGCTTTTTAATATTTTAGTAGGGCAAGGATGTACTGCTTCTGGTCAGATATATTTCGGGTATACATAATATATCGAAAATATGATTTTTTCGTACACTGGTTTGCAGGCTGATGAAGAAGGCAGTACATAAGTTAGTGATGAGATTCTTTTACTTACACAGCTGATGAAAGGTAGCAGTGGCAGTGGGCTCGGGTTGGGCACATTAGGAGCACTTCGTGACAATCGAAGCAGTGGCAGTGGCAGCAATGCAAGTAGTGGAAACTTAGCTGGCTCACGGCCAATGTCACGCCCCTCCGCTACACCCCGAGCTGTAGAGGTTCTTACTGCACGCCCCATTCTACGAGAGGAACAAATATCCTCACTTGATGACATTTCGCGTGATGCAGGATGGGCGCAGCATGACGATATTGATTATGAGTAAGTGTTTATGAATATATTAATATGCTGATTGACATTTAATCACAGTATTCTTCATTTGTAAATATTAAATTAATTTATTTTTTTAGTCAAAAACTGGACTTCTCTGATGGAGAATCATCAGCACCCACAAGTAAATCCAGTAATAAAAATAGTAGTAGCCGGGCAAGTGTAGATAATGAACGCCTGGATTCGAAGATTCAAGAACCTGGTGATGAAGAGCAACTATGGGCAGAAAGGCGACAAAAGCAAAACAACGAAGTCGCTCAAGCAGTTGCGCGAGCTCGACAGCGTAAAGAAGAGGAGCAACGACGTCAGATGCGCGATAATTCAGCACCAACGCAACCAACTAAAGACAATCGTGATAAGGCAGAGCGACATGACAAAGATCGCAATGAGAATAGAGACAGGGATTCAACTTCTAGGGAAAAAGATAGGTTGGAAAATAGAGACAGAGAACGGGCGGATAACAGGGATAAGGAGCGAAAGGATCTCCGTGATAGAGACACAAGGGAAAAGGACCGCGGAGATGTACGAGACCGCGAGCGTGTAGATAATAGGGATCGCGATCGTAATGATAATAGGGATCGATTTGAAAATAGAGATAGAGAACGCGACTCTGATAGAGAAAGGCATGAAAATAGAGACAGAAATAGAAATGAAAACAGAGAGCGTCCGGAAAGCGATAAAGAGAGATTGGATGCACGAGAAAGGGACCGTAATGACAATAGGGACCGTTTGGATCGTGACCGATTTGATAGGGATAGGGACCGTGGAGATAGAGAACGTGATCGCGAGCGCGACCGCGACCGCGATCGCGATCGTGAACGTGAACGTGAACGCGATCGTGATCGCGATCGTGAACGTGATCGAGATCGCATCGACAGAGAAAGACTTGATCGCGATCGTGACTTTAGAGACAGAGATTATGGGCGCGACCGTGATCAAACAAATAACGCTTTTTCAAAAACCTTCCAAGCTAATATACCACCACGTTTCTTAAAACAACAACAAAATCGACAACAGGAAGAACAAAATAAAGGTTGGGCATTTTCTGGCAAAACGGCTCCTAGACGCCAAGATCCCCCTTCATATAATGCCCCACGCCATGCGTCTAACAATGGTCGTCGTTCATATTCAAGGTAAGTTTACCTTGACCTTATATTATTTAAATACTGAATTATCTTAATTATAGTAAGTAAGCACAAAATTCTCTTTTTTTTTAGGGATTATTCAGATCGTGAAGATGAAGTTCGTAGAGACAAAGAAGGCGCTGGACCGCAGTGGCGCTCAGAAATGCAGGATTATGATAAATCTGGGCGAGAAGTAGACAAATCAAATTCTAAAGACTATAAAGAATTTGGTAATGATTACAAAGACAGAAGAAATGATCCTGAAAGAAAACCATTGGATAGCAATATTGAACAAAGCAGTAGAACTGCTGCTGATAAATTAACGGAGGTATTTGAAAGGAAAAGTATAGGTCTGGCTGAACCGTTTACTTCTTCCGATACATCTATTCAGATACCAGCTGTAGAAACACGTTCATCACAGTCTATAAATGTATCTCAGCGGGAATCGTCTGAAAAAGATTATAGTAAAACATCGTGGGCAGAAGTGACACAAGAGGAACAAACACATTATTTACCCGTTAAGTCTGCAGAAGTTGATGGATCATCTAAAGAACAGGAACACACTTCAAAAGAACTATCTATTTCTAATTCTGAGAAAACAGATTCTAATACTTCTTCACAACAAACTCTTTCTGGGCAAACACAACAACAAAACTCAATTTTATTAAATAATTCATCTAACCCTGTTGCACCACAAAGTCAGGGTAACAAGTTTCACAATAATCTTAATTCCAGTGCTCAAAACTCATCTCTTAATCATCAAGTAACACATATTAATTATGGAAATACTCAATCACCATCTATTTCTTCTAATCAGAATCAGATTCCAGTATCTGAAGGCCAATCACTTTCCAAACCTGTTCATCAAAGTAATCCTCAATCTGGAAACCAGAATGACAATTTAACAATTTCTTCACAAGTTCAAAAGCCAGTGGCTGAGTCACAACAACAACACCAACAAAATATGGGCAAACCATTACTTGCATCACAAAAATCTGAAAAAGAATTCTCCGAATCTGAATCAACAGCCTTAAAGTCTAGCACTGAACCATCTGGTTCATTGGTTAAAGGTAATGATTCACATTCTGTTGAATCCATTCATAATAGCAATGATTCCCAAAAACGCGTGAATGACGATAAGAGAAATGATCGTGTCAGCAATGAACAATTACATAAAGTTTCTTCAAAAGAGCCAATTGAAAGAAAGTCTAGTGGGTCAGGATCTGAAAAGAAAGGCAGGGGTTACGGAAATAACGGTGGTTTTGTTTATAATAGAGGTTGGGGGCCAAGAGAATCTCGTGGACGACGTTCACATCGTAGCTCTCGTTCTAAAAATAGGGCTAGTGAATCAGATGGTTCGACTGATGGAGCTCCAAATGCGGAAAGAAAAGAACGTCGTAGGGCCCCTCGAAGCCCCCGTGGCCCTAAAAAACCAGAGAGAACGGAAGATGTTAATCATTTAATTGATAATAGTCAGCATGCTACTGATAGTTTAGAAAATAGGGAGGTACCTTTTGCACCTAGGGGACAACCGTCTAGACGAGGTCGGGGTGGTTTTCAAGGTGCAGCTAGACCTCCAGCCCCTGCAAAACGAGTAACTGGCTATGGACCGCCAAATACAAAGAGCCCTTTCAGTCAAGCAAGTAGAGCTAATAAAGATAATGATGATAATAAGGATAGTATTCAAGACGACCGAGGAAGAGGTAATAAACCACGTACTGGTTCGTCGACTGGAAGAGGACGTGATCGTCGTCCCAAAGGAGCTGGTCCTCTAAGCGGCGAAGATGAGAATTGGGAGACGACATCCGAACATTCCGAAGGCGGCGGCGCTGGCGCTCGTCGTCGGTCTCTTGGTGGGAGGCAACCTAGCCAATCCCAAAAAGGGCAAAGTGGGCGTCATCATAATTCCGGCAACCGACAGAATAACGGTCGCAACGCTCAAGCAGGGAAGAAAGATGGTGATGGGAAAAATACAGATCTAACAGAGGCTATAAGAGATCTTAAGATAACTACTACTAAAAAGGATGATGAAGTAGTTGATGACGGTTTTCAAGAAGTACGAAATAAGAAGAATTCTAAAGATGCAAGGGGACCAACAAAAGACGAAAATCAGCATGTTTCTAAGCAGCCTAGATCTCGTTCTAATCAAGGCGGAGGTAGAAATGGATCTTCAACAAGAAACTCTAATGACAAGGCAAATAATCGGGGAACAGCACCAGTTTCTGGAAAAACTAATACACAATATGATAGACCACGTCAAGCTAATTTAGCTCCTCGCTTTGTGAAACAAAGGCAGAAACAACAAATGGGATTGATGACTAGTTTTAGCCCAGATACTGGCGCTGCACCCCCTCCGCCGCCTGTAAATGCCTGGGATAAACCAATTTCACAGACGTTACGTGGTAATGTTGAAGAGCCTGTAGAAGTAGTTGATAATAAGTCAAGTCAGTCAAGCCAGCGAAGTACTCCTGGAGACACTCCAGCTGAAGTAAAAACAACTACGGCCCCATGCACAATCCCAATTGAAAAAACTGGAGTATTGGATGGGTCTACTCCTCCAGTAGAAACAATTATATTCGAAAACACTAACTATAAGACTGCTCCTCCAGCAGAAGCCTTAAAACAAAAGTATCAACCAAGTGCAACCTCTGCCAAAACTCAAGGAGAAGAAGTGCCTGCGGAAATTGACTCACGGTCAATTACATTTAATGGAGATGTAAGACCACGGCCAAGATCCATTCAAGAAATAATGGCTGATAATAGTAGGCCAGTATCTGATACTGAGGGGACACTGGGTCTGCCAATGACTTTTGATACATCACAAAAAGCAGAGGATTCTTCCGACATGAAACTTGATTTTGCATTTGATTCAGATTTGGGCCAACTTACCGAAGATAAATCGACTAAGTCACTTGGATTGCCACGCAGTACACATATGAGCACTTCAAATACAATCTCCCCTCTTGCTGCAGATCTCAATTTAAAAATTGCTAGCGTCAAAAAAGTGTGGGAAATGCCAGCAGTTGCCGAAGGTAGTGAAGAATTGCAGTTTGCCGGATTTGAAGAAACTAACACAGAAACCGGTGCCCCTCCAAATGTATGTAAAGTAAAGCCAACACAGCAATTACAGTCGCCGCCCCCTCAACACTACAATCATATGGGATATCAGGGTGGATATGGGGGCTTATCAGTGTCATCGCCTCCTGCTGTGTTATTTAACTCATCCCAACAGCTTCTAGGTTCATCTCAACAGTTACCGCAACAGGGTGGTCTGTATGGAGCATTTTTAGATCAAAGCCGAGGACAATTTGGAGGTTTTCCTGGAACACCATATGGTGCTGGTTCAGCTGCCCCTTACAATTATCAGCCACCTCCTGATATGTTCCAGAGTCTCCCAAGTCAATATCGCATGGTAAGAATTTTGCTATGGCATATTTTTAATAATAATCAATAAATTCTGTTATTTAATTATATTAAGACTTTTTTTTGTCAGGCGGCTGCTGCAGGTGGCGGTGCTGCATTTGGCCAATCTGGACAGTTGGGCAATAGTCCTAACACTGTCCTCATCTCCAGCACTTCGAACTCTTTAATGTCTGCTACTGTTAAACCTGCTTCACAGCAAATAGGTGCAATAGGTACGGAAGCAAGAATTTACATAATAGTTCCTGTATAGAGATATGTATAAATGTTTATTATGAAATTAAAATAATGAGAATAGACATCACTGTTGTTAGTTGAAATTGTTATAAATATAAAGATATTATTCTGATGATTCAACTGTAAAAGTTGGCACCTAAGGAGTGAGGTACCAAGCGTGATGATTATGTAATTACCGTGTACTAATTTTCCTACAGTTATTAACAAGAATAATCATTTTGATTGAATACGAAATTTGGCAGAGTTGATTAGTCATTGATTCAAAACAATTATTCTTCAGGTAGCAAAGGCGGCGGTGTCGGTGGGGTGGGAGGAGTAGGAGGAGTGAACACATACCAGCAGCAGTTCCTTGGTTATTCTGGACCTGTAGGGGAGGCTCCATACTCTTTACCTGGACTGTTGCCTCGTCCCGCACCACCAGCCAGCTCGTATTACTCGCCATACCAGCCGCCGACTGCCCCAGCGCCGACCTATCCTCTTCAGTTTACTCAGCCTGCGCAGTCTGGCAATGCGTTCGGCTCACAGTTTCTCACTTCACAACTTCAAGTGGCTGCCGCCGTGCAGCAGATGCAGGTTAGTAAACTACTTTTGTCTTGTATAATTCTTGCCTAGTGATATCAAACATTTGCAGTGCTTATTGCTCAGCAAAAAATTTCGGAACTTTTTGGGACATTTTTCAACAGATTCAAAAACCGGAAACTTATATATACACAAAGGAGAATGGGATGTTTGGGCCATAAGTTAACTAATTAGTTTATACTTTAAAAAATTGGCTATAATATACTAAAGTTAAATACAAAAAACTTAACTCTTTTTACTATCTAAATTTCGTAAAAAAACAATAAAATAAGAAATATTAGAAATTCGATTTTATATTTATTCAGATCCATAAAATAAAATGGAAAATCTTCAAAGGTTTCATTTAAATTCTATTATTTACTTTGAACGATATATTCATTTGGAAATAAACCGATTACCATAAAGAATACACTAGTGAAATTCTCGTTTTGGATGCTACCTATCAAATAATAGTTAAAAGAACAGAAGGCTCACTCTCTCATAGCAAACTTGCGAGTTTAAACTCAGTTACAACGTCGCTAATGTTCATAACTCTTTGCACGCCTCGGAAGTGACCTTCGTGAAATTAGCCTAGTTTACATAATGATGTCTTCTATAGCCTAGTTTATTACGTCGAAAAAAAAATTTGTGGCGCGCGTAATAAATTAAAATGCACCTTATTTCCAACGTGCTAGTGTCTATATCACTTAGCCCGTTACGCGCCTTTGTTGAGACCGCTTCTACTGTAGGGTTAGGTGTTGTGAGAAAACAAATTGAATCCTTTGATATTAGTTGGTTGTATGTAGTATAATTATTATATATAATACACCGAGGTGCTATGCAATGTATTAGTATTTCTTTTTTTCATTTAGTTAAAAAAAACATTACCCCCACACTAGGACTTTCTCCTGTATCGTGGAGGCAGTTAACAAACATATTGCACAAGGACAAACATCTAGACCGGGAACAATTATTTGCCAGGCCATACAAATACTAGTTCCGTGCGGGATTCGAAACCGCGGCCCCAGCTATTGCAACTTATTGCTAAGCCACTGCGCCACGGAGCCGTCACTTGTCTGTTTAACATTTTTTGCTATTTACAAACATGCGACACGCGACTTCATTTTTAATGAAAGAATGGCAATGAAAAGTGCTGCTAAGTTTAATCATTAACCAGTATATATGCTAATCTTGCATTAGTAGGCAGTCACCAGTACTGGGAGGTCTACTTACACTAAACGATATTTTAAGGTCATTGGCATTATACGCGAAAAAATCGAAAACCGCGAAGCTGTGGTCCGGTCACTAATCAAATAATAAATCTGTAACTATGGTATCAGTGACTAAGTACCTAATTATCTAGATCTACCTCTAAATAATAATATATTAACTTTTGGTATCCTTAGGAACAGTAAAGAATGAAAAGACGACATTCCTATTGTTATTTAAGCACCCGTATGCTATGCAGTACCTTTTGGCTATTTGAGAGGCCATACTCGAATAAAAACTCAAAAATAAATATCAAAAGTACCTAAATACTTATTAGAAAAAAAAAAATTATGTTAATGTAAGGCGCGCGTCAGCTCGAGCGGGCGCGTGACTACCTCACAGAATTTGGCCCGCATGCGAGGTCGCGTAGCGTAGAGGTATATTTTCATGCCTAAAGCGCGGAGTGAGACAGGCCTGTTACCACTATGTAGTACTTCTTATTAGTTTGTGCTAGCTACCAATAAAGAACTTCTCATTTTGAAACATGACTATTTGACAATTTTCGAATCGTTTTGAAACAAGTGTAATATAATTGATTCTCGATTAAATTCAGCTTTTTAATATCTATTATCGATTATCTTTATGTCCCTAGTTAGGGGGATAAACTCCCTAACTAGGGACATAAAAAAATGCGAATATATCTATAAAATAATAATAAAAATACAAAATATCAACATGCCAACAAATAACAGTAACAACAGCAATTCAAGTAATCAATCTCAGATCGATATGCCTAATATTCACTTCAACTTGTTGTTTCAACTTTCGTTAATCATTTCGTCAGCGACCTCCGGACATTTCAGTAGCACGTGGGCCGCCGTTTCTTCTTCCCACATACATGCCCTGCACAGGGGACTATCTGTAACACCTATAGTAAATAAATGTTTGTTAAAGGTGCCCGTGTCCTGTGATAGCACTTTTTACTATCTAGATCTGCAGCTTGTTTAGTCTCATTAGAACTTTGGTTAAACGACTGTTTATTTCAGGCAGGGCCTCCCTAGCTTATCTACAGTCTACTAGATTTTTCCAAAGCTGAGCGTGTTGATTAATGAAGTGTCTACGTACCAGTGAACGAACGTTACCAAAGGGGATTGGTATGATTGGTTCCGGCCCTATAGTGGCCAGAGCCGATCCGCTTCTGGCCAGTTCGTCTGCTGCATCATTACCCCTGGATCCACTGTGTCCCTTTATCCATTGCGGAGTCACATTGTTGTTTTTACATACCTCATTTAATCGTTGATGACATTCATATATGAGTCCCGAGTTCACAACATTGCAACTCAGAGCTTGTACTACCTCCCTACTGTCGGTCAGTATTCTGATGGGGAAGTCATTAACCTTCCTAGCATCTATTGCTATAGTCGCTTTTTTTTTAATATACAAGAGGGGGCAAACGAGCATGCGGCTCACCTGATGGTAAGTGACTACCGCCGCCCATGAACAACCGCAACACCAGGGGAATTGCAGATGCGTTGCCGGACTTTTAGAAAGGTTTAAGCTCTTTTCTTGAAGGTTCCTAAGTCGTATCGTTCCGGAAAATTCGCTGGTGGTAATCGATTTCACAAGGAAGTTGTGCGAGGAAGAAAACATTTTCTAAATCGCACAGTGGTGGACCGCCAATCATCCAGATGGTATGGATGGTAACGCGAGTTTTGTCGCGATGTGCGATGGTGAAATTGAGCGGCTGGAATTAGTCCGAACAATTCCTCAGAGCACTCCCCGTGATAGATGCTATAAAATACGCAGAGATGCAACATCTCTACGCAGTGCCAGTGTATCGAGCCGATCAGAAAGAACTCGGTCGTCGACGATTCGAACCGCTCTGCGCTGGATGTGGTCAAGTGGAAGGAGCTGGCACTGGGGTGTCCCGGCCCAGAGATGAGAACAGTATTCCATGTGGGGCCGAACTTGCGCTTTGTAAAGTTGCAAGCGATGTGCCGGAATGAAATACTGTCTCGCTTTGCTGAGCACGCCAAGCTTTTTAGAGGTCAATTTGGCCTTCCCTTTCAAGTGACCACGAAACTGCACACTATTCGATATGTCGACGCTAAGGATTCCGATACTAGCTGAGGCAGTAAGGGGAGTGCCTTGGAACTGAGGAGATACGACAAAGGGGTTCTTTTTAGCGGTAAATGCGCAAACTTGTGTCTTCTGGGGATTGAACTGGACTAGATTTAGTCGGCCCCAATCCGAGACTTTGTTAAGCAAAGACTCGACTTCAGACACAAGTTTGTCCCGGTACTCAGCGACGTTTTCCCGAGAAATATTGGCACGGCCGGTAAATAAGGCATCACCAGTGCTGTCGTCTGCATAGCAATTAATGCTACCAGTTATATTCATTGATATGCAGGAGAAACAGCGTTGGTGATAGCACGCAGCCTTGCGGAACACCAGCGTTGATAGGCTTGAAATCAGAGCATGCACCGTCTACTACGACCTTGATGCTCCGATCAGCAAGGAAACAGGTGATCCATTTGCACAATTTCTCGGGAAGCCTATAGGAAGGAAGCTTCGAAAGAAGCGCTTTGTGCCAGACCCGATCGAAGGTCTTCGCTATGTCCAAACTAACGGCCAATGCCTCCCCCTTGGACTCTACTGCCTCCGCCCATCTATGAGTCAGATAGACTAGAAGATCAGCAGTTGATCGACCTCGACGAAAACCGTACTGGCGGTCACTAATCAGGTGGTGATCCTCAAGGTACCTCATGAGCTGGCAGTTTATAATGGATTCCATTATTTTGGAGAACAAGGAGGTGATGGCAATAGGCCTGTAGTTGGACGGGTCTGAGCGGTCGCCTTTTTTAGGGATCGGGTGGACCAAAGCTGTCTTCCATGAATTCGGGACTACGCCTTGGGAGTAGGAGTACCGGAAAAGACGCGTTAAAACCGGTGCCGACTACGGAGCACACGTCTTCAGCACAATGGGAGGGACTCCATCGGGCCCACTCGACTTGCTGACGTCCAGGGAGAAGAGTGCTTTGCGAACCGAGCGCTGTGTAAACCGCACATCCGGCATGGAGCACTCACATCGCGAGATGGTCGGCGGTGTGTTCCCCCCGTCATCTAGAGTCGAGTTGGACGCAAAAAGAGAGCTCAACAGATCGGCTTTCTCCTTTGCGGCATGGGCCTGTGAGTCGTCCTCTCTGTGCAGAGATGGAAGAGATGGCTGACTGAAGTTCCCTTGGACAGCCTTGGCGAGAGACCAGAATGCACGGGTTCCCGAAGGATGGCGAACTAGCTTCTCGCCAATTCTGCCGATGTGCTCAGACCTTGCCTTGGCAATGACGCTTTTGAAGGACCTGGAGGCGGAATTATACTTCTTTTTAAGTGCGCTGGTGTTTACATCCCAAGACGTTGATGCGTCAGCCCAGGCCCGATAGCACTCCTGCTTATAGCGTGATGCTATTTTACAGGAGCGACCAAACCATGGCTGGGATCTGACTCCGATGGGCACCACAGAGGATGGAATAAAAAGTTCCATACCCTGAAGTACCACATCAGCAACAGAATCGGCAACAACGCTGGGATCTTCCGGCGAGAAGCAAACCCGCCCCCAAGGGTAGGATGCAAAAAAATACCGCATCCCGTCCCAATTAGCTGACCTATAGTGCCAAATACGGCGGCAAGCTACAGATCGCAACTGCGATTGGAGCGTGAGTGGCACCGTACTCCGAATCAGACAATGGTCCGAAGAGCCCAGAGGGGCATCGACGGAGACCTGATATTCGTCCGGATGTGAGGTCAGC